ATTTACATAGGCAGTTAATTAGTTGGGCAGCAGAAAGGTCACGGGTTCACGTCCCGATGAGGTCATTGGAATTTCTTAAATTGCCCTAATCCTTCCAGTCGCACTATGGCCCTGCTGTCGACTCAACCGCACCGGCTGACAACCTTGCCGCCATCTTTGAGTCGATTGTCTAGAAAATGTGAGACCCTCAACGTCTCACAACGCCATGGGCCTTCACGGCCTGGTACAGGGATAGCTTTACTTTTTTACTTTTTACTTGTTTGTTAGTTTGTTAGTTAGTTAGTTAGTTAGTTAGTTAGTTAGTTAGTTAGTTAGTTAGTTTATCACTTACTTAGTTCTATTTCATTAAGATTTAAGATTCGTGGCCCCAGTGGTGCTCAAGTCTTCTTGGTTTTCATACTCAAACTCCATCGATTTAAGTCTGGCAAAGAGCAACAATATTATCCATTTGAGGTTTCGATTTTCACGACGGTGACGCCTTCCGGATGTGGCGCCACTCAGTTAAGTTTTCATGTGCCATCTTTTTGGAGGAACCTGCTGTATCCATTTCAGAGCACAGGACTAGTCTGCTCGTCCCATAAGACAGTAATTTTCAAAGTCACACCTGTTTCAAATATCTTCTTCATGTAGATCCCATTTACAATTTAAATACAAATGTAAGCATATCCATATACTTCTCAAATTTTACACACATTATTATTCCCGTTAGTAATAATAATAATTCAATTCGATTGAAGTTTTATTTATTTACATGAAGACTTAACAGCCCAGATGTCAATTACAAAGTTAGTACGAATACGTAGAGAGAAACAAAAAAAATTAAAAAAACATAATACAAAATTAGGCAGTTTTTATAATACCGCTTATAATACAACAATTAATAATAATAATAATTTCATGAAAATCAAACCTATATGTGACAAAAGTACATATGCAAAGGCTATGTCATTATGTGGCGAGAAAGAATAATATTAGTACATACTACATAGAAGTACTGTAATAATAATATTAGTAACAGCAATTATAAAGTATTATAAAATATGATTAAGGAGGAAATTCTATCTCACATCTGTTAATTACTGCTTTAATTCGTGGAGGAATGAAGGTAGCTCATTTCGTGCCAGAACTTTGCGCAATAGCAACTTGAAATGTTGTAATCTGTACCCGCATCTCTGTCTTTCCACATGCTTCATGATGCTCAAAGTACTCTGTATCTTGATAATTTCGCAAAGATCAAACGGTAACAAGAGGTAGCAGTTCTATATCGAGCGTGAAAAGTGGGCCACAAAATGGTTTTTAGTCTGCTTTTTCATTCATGTAAAGCATATTTAGACCTTGCAGTTGAGACACGTGGGCCCTGAACTAGCGAAAAAACGTTTCAAGTAAAAGTAGAACAGGGTGCCTCACCACTTCACCCTCATTACCGCCACCTCCCCATGCGGCCTGCTTGTTGGTTTCATCACTTCATTCACACGATACTATTAGTTTTGTTAAATTACTTACAATATAAAGACTGAATATATTCTCACTATCATTTACTATGCATTGTGACGAATATGACTATTAATAGGCAAGGGTTCGGTAAGTACGTTCCCGCTGCAAAGGATAAACACAAGAAAAACAGAGTAACAAATGAACTGTAAGACACGGTGACTTATATTCGGTTGCCCCGAAGTTACAGAAGAGCTTTTTCTTATTGCTAGTGGGGGGACTAAGTGCTTTGTACTGCGGCCACTTCTGGCCTATTGTACTAGCCTCAGATGATAGGTGAGGGTGATTGAGGAGCAATTGGTGGAATGAAGATTGGCAGGGGAAACAGAAGTACTCGGAGAAAACCTGCCCCACAAATCCCACTTGACCAGACCCGGGATCGAACCCGGGCCGCCGCGGTGGGAAGCCAGCGACTAACCGCTTGAGCTATGGCGCGGCCCTTATAAACCCTTGATGCAGACGTCACATGTTCCCTTGATCTCATTTTCAATGTCGGTTAAATTTTCACTGGGCGAGTGCCACAGAATCATAGGAGTTGAGGCAAAGATCGGCAGGCAAATCGTAAGCCCAGCCGTCGTGTTTCGGTCACCGGAAGCCAGAAATAGGCGCGGACAGCAGCTGGGTACAATTCCATACACATGGAGCCTGCCACATGTAATCATGAACGGCGCTCCTGTCTTCACATTCCACGTGTACATGAGTGTGTGACAGAAAATAGGACCTAGAAACCTTGCAGTATGGTGCTGTTTTCTACACAACCACTTCAGTTCAGTCTTAAAGAAGTTTGTTTATTTCGGTTTATAGGCGCAGTCATTAAGCAGATACTGTCAGCGTCATACAAAATGTAACCAGTAAATTAACATGTGAATGACTGGTGCTAGAATTGAAGACAATGATTGGATTAAATTAAATGTTATGTGGAGGAACTGGATGAACAAAATAAGTTCTTCATATGTTAATACTATTGTGAAATGTGGACTCATTGCTAGGAGACGACTCGGTAAACAAGCCCGCAACAAATACACAACCAACAGTAGAGTAAACCCATTTCTATGCGACGCCCACTATACTTGCGCACAACAATAAAACCGATGTTGCAAGAGGTGTTTTCTATGTGGGTTCACATACAGCCATTGCTAGGCAAAGGATGTGTTTTCTGTGCTGTGGTCAGACCCGGGGCTATACAATGAGAAGACAACAATAATTGACAGTTGAGGACCTACCCATGTGGAGGCCGGGTCGAATGCTTCCACCGTGAATCTGCGAGTCGTAGGAGGCGACGAAAAGGAAAGTCTCAAATCTGAGAGAGTAAAATATGGTCACAAGTCCCAAGGGACTCGGACCCGAGAAAGACTGCATTGGCAAGGGCCAGCAGCATATACAAAACACAGACCCGTCTCCTGTCGTCAGAGAGGGAGCCCCGCAAAATCAAAACCGTAATTGTCAAACAGCAATAAAAATTTGGTCATGGGCCCAAGATGGGGCACGACACCAAGACTTACTGACTGACCGACCGTCAGTCGAATTGTGACTTTGACTTAAATTGACAGTTTATTTGGAAGTCAGAATAGTTTCAGTGGAGTGCTCAGTCGAAAGAAGTGTGTCAGATAGTGATTTGTGATCTTTCTACTATGGTCACATCCAATGTAATATTAAAATAGTACAGTTCCTCTATAGAAAGTGGATTTCGGAGTTCAGCTTCAGCGTTCGCGTTATACGCGAAACTGATAATTATCTAATTTTGAAATCCGTATTATTATGTATGGGGCACCCTGTAGTGTAGTTGGTTCAGACATTATGCTACAAACCGGAAAATCTCGGGTTCGATATCCGATGAGGTCATTGCATTTTTTTAAATTTACCTAATCCTTTCAGCCACACTATGATCATCAATTATTAATTTTATAATCTATATGTGATTTCACTTTGTCTTGAACCGGATTATCTGAGAGATAAATAGAGTGTTCCAGGTGGAAAGGTCAATATTCTGGAGTTCATAGTATCGGTCATTCTAAGCAAAATTTTTATATATACATGTGTCTTATTCCGAACTGTTTCCGAAGTAGAAATATTTCACTGTACAGTTGCAAAATTATTAATAAAGAGATATTACGTAATGTTTCTAATATTAGTATTTATTGTTCAAATGACAAATTTGACACAGTTTACCCAGTATAAAACATTTTAGATAATTCGACCGTTACATCAATGCAGTTCGCAAATAGTGTGAGCACATGGCGTGTTGCTCGTCTGTACAGTGGAATAGCTCTACCTCGGAAACCGTTCTGAATAGGACACATGTACAGACATAATTTTGATTAGAATGGCCGGGACTATGAAGTCCCAGAATAGTGACCTTTTTTCTTGGGACATTCTCTATAGTCGTTCTACCTACAGCCATAGGACTTGAGTGCAGTGTATTCAGCAGACTAAGGGAGGGAAATTGCTTCCCGATGTATTTATTTGTAAGTTGGAAGAGCTGTTCCATTTTATCAATCACTCATGAATCTGAGCCATTCTTGAGAAGCCGCCAAATCTTGAGCTACTCAAGAACTTCCCAGCATTTTATGGAACCCGAATGTTCATTACCGTGTCCATAATAGTCCTCCATTGGTCCCCATCCTGAGCCAGATCGATCCAATCAATAGCATCCCATCCTATCTCTCTAAGATCTATTTTAAAATTGGCCACCCAGCCACATCTTGTTCTTCCTAGTGGCCTCTTTCCTTCTAGCTTTCCCACCAATATCCTATGTGCGTTCCCTTTCTCCCCCTTTGTGCTACATACTTTTCCCATCACATCCTCCTTGACTCGATCATTCTATATACTTGGAGAAGAGTACAAGTTATGAAGCTTCTCATTATGCATCTTTCTCTAACTTCCTGTCACTTCATCTTTCTTGGATCCAAATATTCTCAACACCCTGTTCTCAAACATCCCCAGTCTATTCTAAATGGTTCTGACGATGGTGTATAACCCTCAGAATTACTGCGGGTTTAGGCTTTTTCTTCCGTCGGATATTCTAGAAACTAGAAAACACGACACTTCGGAAACTGGATGTGTTTCCACCCTCAGGTGAGGGGAAGACACCTACTCAGTTGGTTCCCTTAGAAAGAGTTAACCTCAGTCACTGAATCTGACAATAGTTGTCCAGTGATTGAAGTTAACTCTCTCTAAGGGACCCAACTGAGTAGGTGTCTTCCCCTCACCTGAGGGTGGAAACAGATCCAGTTTCCGAAACGTTATGTGTTCTAGTTTCTAGAATACCGGACGATGGAAAAAGTCCAAAACCCAGTAATTCTGAACCCTCAGTCTATGATCCTCACTTAATGTCAGAGACTAAGCTTCACACCCATACAGAACCACAGGTAAAATATAGTTTTGTGTACTCTAATTTTTATGTTGGTTTTTTTTCTTTCGTTTTACATTTTTCACAAAATTACCTGCCGTCCCCCCAATCATAGCGACTCGTGTTCCAATTGAATGCAACAAAATTTATGACAACTCACCGTAATCGGCGAGCATGTCTGCAAGGTTCAGGTCCATATCAAGGTCTTCAGAAGATGAAGATGAAGAAATTGTAGTAGCGAGTGGGAGGGTAAAATCAGCAAGGGGGTGCTGACAGGTCATGTAGCCAGGAGACTGACCCACCGAGGAGCACGCTGACGATGAGTGTCCACTGATAACAGAATCTACGGGGCTTACACTTAGCAAATTGTCGCCGCAAGGCACCTTCAGGTATCGCGTATCTTCCCCGCCCCCAATTCCGCTGTCCTGTGACTTGGCTTCCGGCAACATCACAACAGACGCCTTTTCCCATCTAAATGCCTCTTTCACTTTAGTCCACTTGGACACTTTGGCTTTAGTGCCACCAGCGATTCCAAGGGCCGGTATCCCTTGCAGTTTCGTCTGAAGTTTAGTTGTCTCACACATTTCATGCCCAAACCTCCCGCCCCTAACTTTATGTCGTTTTATCTCTGCAATTCCGACTGATCTGCTGCGTTCTCGTTGCTGGTAACGTAAAAGCGACTGTCGAAACCTGCCATTTGTCATCGATTTGCATTTATTATTACGCTTGTTATTGGCAGAAATAGCCACTTGTTCATTCACGAGACTGTCTTCAGAGCCTTCTCGTTTCGGACTAGGGAAATTCTCCTCAACAATTCGGCGGTGTTCGTGCCTTCTAGCCGCAAACTGCCGGTGCTGTTGAAGAGTGTGCAGAAAGGCAACGTCCTGAAATTCTCGCCTCTTTGTTTCCTCTTGCAATTGTTTGTGCATTTCTTGAAGGTTCTTCAAATCTTCTAAGTACTGGACGCGCCTCTGAAGCTTGGAGTTTTGTTCCCTCAGGTCTCCAAGTTGTTCCATCAGTTTACACAAATTATCTAAGTGGTCGAGGCCTACTTTAGCACCGCCCCCTGATGATACATTTCCCGTATACGAGGACATTGATCTCATCAACTGAGGTTGTACCGATTTTTGTTGTGACTTTTGTTTTTCTTTCGCGCCTGTAGATGCAGCGGGAAGAGACATGAGGTACTCCAGGAACTCGTCTTCCTGTTGCAATGCATCACTTATAAGCTTCTTGCGGGCAGATTCACTCTCCGGACACTCAAATGAGATTTCCTGCAGATGTGGAGGCTTTACTTGCGTTTCCTGCGCACTCTCGTCTTTTATTTGATCGGCAGGAGTGCTAGATGGCCGTGCTTCTGGACTCTCTGCTTCTTCCTTTATCATTTCTGTCGGCGATTTACATGCAGTTTGCTCCAGCCTTTCGAAATCGGAATGTTCCTGCTGAGACACGCTGTTGGTACACTTTTCTTTCTCCATAGCGAAATTTAAGGCAGAAACAGCAGAGTTTCAGTTGCAGGAACTCACTTCTTTTCAGTTCGCATGCAAGGGAATACCCACCACAACATTGCAAGCACTAACTTACTAACAAACATTGCACACAAATCTACATCTTACGTGAAACAATTATAATAAATATTTACACCTTAGATAGTATTTTGAACCACATTCTTCTCATGTTTAATGACATTCCTGCCCCGATTGAAATCCGATAATTAGCACGTGTGTATTCATGAGATTAAAAAACTGACTATTGTATTAATAATTCACTTTATGGTTGAAGTTTAATTTTTCTAATTTTTCTCTGGTATTTAAAATTGACGTCATTTTCGACATTTCTGTTTCGAATGAGATGTAGTTTGATTAAAAATTACTGTTTTCTTCATGCCAGATGTCACACACTGTATATAAATGTTACTTGTACCTTAACTTGCTCATTACGAATTGTGTTGTCACAACTCAATTACTGGTATATTTGTTCCTGCGTTTTTCAAAACATATTGAAGTTCGATATTCAGTGTTCAAAATTAACACTCGCGTTTAGTAGAGAACTGTTCTGAAAGCATCGCGTAAATAAGTATAAACACTAAATGTTTTTGCGAGGAACGTAATAACGCAGTTCATTTTTCGGGTTGCAATGCGTCGCCCCAACGTCGGCTCACGGACTGGCTGACTGACTGCCAGACCTCTTCGCGAGCCAACTTTTCTTCTTTCTTCTTTTCTCACGATCCTGCTTGAACCCCTTCCCCCACTCACCACCTTCCTACCCATAGCTATTCTAAAAAAAGGATCTTTTCTGGCCCAACCATTGAGAGATTGGAGCATACCTTCCTCGATCGAGATCATAGTTTTCTTGCAACGCCACTTGGCATATATTCCACTGGACTTCTTGCAATCATTTCTATTAGGAAAGCCATAATTTTATTTTTATACTAATGGAAATAATAGTTTGTGGGTAAATATATTAACATATACACGTACATTATAAAATTTAAAAGTAATGGACAGCAATAAAATTAATAACTTTAATTTCTCATTTCATTATGATGTGTCTGTTATAACAGACATTAAATTTTCACAGAGTAAACAAGATACTAAGTTATATAAAGCTATTGCTACATGCTTAATAAACTGTGAAAATTTGTTAAACGACTTCTGCGTCAGAGATTTGGTTTTCTATTGAGACAGAGTACTCCATAAATAAAACAAATATAAGATCCAAATAAAAAAAATGTTTACATAATTCCTGCACGTTCAAAGCAACACTTGGGTCTGCATTTGTTCAGTGTAATGGTGGGAACGCCAGAAGGAAAGAGACCTCTGGGAAGACCAAGGTGTAAGTGGATGGACAATATTAGAATGGATCTTAGAGAGATAGGATGGGATAGTATGGATTGGATAGATCTGGCTCAGGATAGGGACCAGTGGAGGGCTCTTGTGAACACGGTAATGAACCTTCGGGTTCCATAAAATTCTTGAGTAGCTGCAGATTTGGCGGCTACTCAAGAAGTGCTCAGCTCCATAATGAAGTAAGGAAGTAAGTAGTGCACACATCTAGCCCTTTCTTCTTATACAGTGCAATTTTTCCCACGTTTATTTTACCCCAGATTTGCTCATAACATTCTTATATTTCAATATTTATTTATGTTATCCGGTACAGACGGGACCGTCTTTGCCCGCTCGAACACTGGGGTCTTGGGTTCAAATCATCTTCAGACGTGGATGTCTGTGTGCGTTTATTCTGTTTGTGTTCTGTGTGTGTGCAGGTAGCGGCCTTGCGACCGGCTGATCCCCCGTCAAAGGAGAACTACCCACTGTGTGTAAGATTAAGAACCTGAAAAAGCGGCCAAATTTCAAAGGGCTCTAGAGCCATAGAGAGAGGGGGGGGGGACAGGCGGTCTCTCGTCCTTCCGGGTTTCACGGACTTATGAAGTTGAGCTTTTGCATTCATTGTCCAAGGATGGGTATTATTCTTTAGCAACTAGCCTCTCCGAAGACATCTCCACTCTTTCATGAGCCTGATTACTGAAACGAATCTATTTTCTGAGAAGACTTTTTTTAAAATAAAGCGTGGATATTGTCTGAAAAATTGAAACTTCGTTTTTCATTTGCAGTTCGTTTTGGTTTCTACCATATTGAAACAAACGAATAAATTTATACAAATGGTGATGCTTCTTACTTACTTATTTACTTAAAAGACCATGAAGGCCCATAGGGTTGTGAGATGTCGAGGCTTCCAAATTTTCTCTAGATAATTGGCTCACAGATTGCCGTAAGGTTGTCAGCTTTACGCGCCGGCCGCCCTTTACCCCCCAGGAATATTCCTGGTACTCATTTCTGTCAGAGGCTGAGTCGACCCCCGAGCCATAGTACGGTTGGAAGGATTATGTAAATTAAAAAAAGAAATCCACCTCATCGGGACTCGAATCCGCATCCTCCCGGCTTGTAGCACAGTTCCTCAACCAACTATGCTACCGCGTACCCCATTCACTTACTTACTTACTTCAAACATCTCGCCTCAGGCTTTTCGGGGTTTCTTCAGTGTCTCCAGAAAACTCCCGGGATAGGACCTCTAACTACACCGCAGTTACTTCTTATGACTTCCGTTACAACTCATTTTCATTTCCATTAAAATCATTCGACGCTATATACTGAGAGTTACTGGTCGAGCCGTTACATTAAACTACAAGAAACACGCTGAAAGATGTTCTTAATAAGAAAATTACTTCGTAATGACGAACGTAATGCAAATTAGCCTTCTTGAATCAGAAAGTATTACGTGGGGATAGGTAAGCTTTCTGGTTTCCAATTTTTATAGCAATTTAACTTTATTTAATCTAGCACCGTTAGAAAAATTTATTCTAGGAATTGCTTGGCAGCGCGCAAGAAACTCCGCATTTCCACGGGACAATGTTTGGAAATCACTTATTTAAATGGCTTCCTAGGCCTTGTGAGTGGGTTAAGGAGCGGAAATAAATATTTACACATTCCCTACTTATACGCCGCTAACTCGGCACTGATTGGGTTAATGACCTATGTCCAGGACGCGGAAAATTCATCTCACCTCGAGACATGTTTACATGCCACAGATGTCGATGATTTTATCTGTGTGTTTCGAGGAACTGCTATGTTTCGATCGCATGAATGTTGTAACTTTTGTCTGCTAGAAACAAGGATGCATTGATGCTAAACTTCTACACATTGTATTTTTTTCGATAATTTACAATCAATGCGTAACGACAAGGGGGGTGCAAGCGATAGCGTAGTTGGTTGAGGCACTTGCTACAAGCCGGAAGGTCACAGGATCGAATCCCGATGAGACTGAATTTTTTTCAATTTACACGTACCTAAGTCTTCCAGCCGCACTATGGCCCTGGGGTCGACTCAGCCTCTAACAGAAATGAGTACCAGGAATATTCCTGGGGGTAAAGAGCGGCCGGCGCGTAAGGCTGACCTCACCGCCATGTGTGAGCCGACTTTCTAGAGAAAATTTGGGAGCCTCAACATCTCACAATCTTATGGGCCTCCAGGGTCTGTTGCACGAATGCTTTTACTTCTTTTATGGGTAACGACAGACATTGGAAGTAACAAAGATGGAAACTAGGAGAACATTCTGTAGAGTTCTGTACAAGAATTTTTGGGGCCTACGGTGCAATGAGTAAAACTGATTGATTGTAGTATACGTAACAATGTAGTGTCTGCTGTACAGTTTATATTATTACTATTATTTTTATTGCTAGTGGGGTGGAACTAAGTCCCTTGTACTCCGGCCACTTCTGGCCTATTGTACCAGCCCCAAATTTGAGTTTATATTAAGTGATTTTTATCATAAATGATCACCAGCGAATAATTTGGATCGATGTGGCCTTGATCTAGTTTACGATCCTTTTATTCATATGCAATAATTTAGGAAAACCAAGATTAATTCATTAAAATTGCTCGATTTACCGATAAAAATCCAATTAATTACAATCCAAACACAAATTCCTATCGCCATCGCATGCTTAATCCTACTAGATATAGACTACCTGGGATAGTGACTCGTTCATTCATTTAACGGCGCTTGTTATTCGTGACTACCAACACACGAAAAGCTCCGATTGGGGTTCAGCTGAAATGATTAGATTTGGAAGAATATAATATAAGGAAATACTTAACACAAGATAGCCTAGATCTCCTTTCCTAAAATATTGTGCATTTGACATATATAACGGTGATATTGGTCGCGAGATGGTTATACGAGTGTGTTGCGCCCCCTGTTATTGGTAACTTCAGGTGTGCTACGATATGTAGAACAGAACGGGTAGTGTACGTTGAATGAACGCATAAATAAGATTGGCCAAGAAATGTGTAAATATAAGGATAATAAAATTAAGAATATTTGTGCTTTGTAGAAATATGTACCATACGGACACCACTCCCGGAATAGTCGCTGCAGGAACAACGTAAATAACATTAAGTAATCTTGTCTGTAGGAGGTACAAAAAAACAAACTCCGTGGTTTTAGTCTGCAAGTGAACTATACGGACCGAGCAACCGCCGCTTGCAGGCGAAGTTAGTGCCGACTTTAGCGGATAGAGGGTGTCGCGTGGTCAGTGCAGCGAATCCCCACGGCCGTTAATTTCGGCTTTCTAGACCGGAGCCCCTCTTTCCTTGAAGTAGCTTCTCAATTATCCTCATGAGGTTGAGTTGACCCTGTTCCAGACCTACTACTTCTCAGAAAATCTGATAGCGTCGGGAATCGAAACCGGGCCTCTGGATCTGTAACCAGGAACTCTGACCATTAGACCACAGAGGAGGTCGTCTGTAGGAGGTATATTGCATTAAAATAGGTTGATATATCTGCAGAATTTAAGGAGAGAGAGTGAATATGATTAATTCAGTATTTAATCTCTGATTTCAATAAAAGGCAGATAACTGAATGGATAGTTGAGCGACTGTTAGCTTCCCAGAAGAATCTTTTTTCTTCAAGTTAGTACATTACTGATAAAACACATTAAAGCAGTGATGAGAATATGTCGTGGTCTGTTTTATGATAGAGTACACAGTCGCAGTGTATGCTGCTTCAGGCATGTGCACACGGTGATTAAGAGTCTAATGTAAGCTACGTGAACGGAGAAGTTCATGGAGGTAGGCCTAGGCCCACTGGGGCTGTAGTACCAAGGAAAAAAAATGTAAGCTACGGATTAAACATGTGTTATATAGGACCAAAGAGAAGTTATGGCTACAAACATACGTATATACAGTGTGTTAGAAATGGGTTACAGCCCCTAATGGGGTATAGTACTCACTTTAATGAGCGAAAATTCCCAGTATACATAATCCACAAATCAATAATTGCTGAGATATGGGTGGACATCTCAGGTGATCAAGTTTTTCGGATCAGTTGTCTTACCTAATAGATTAACGGGTTAATTATTTACCAGTACTTTTGGAACGTCTGCCTCTTCAACAATGATAACATAACATATATGGTTCATGCGTGACGGGTCACCAAATCACTTTCTCCACATTGGCAGTCAACACCTGAACCAGACTTTCGGTGAACAGTGGCTAGAGTTCGGAGGCCCAGTCAGCTGGCCTCCACGATCGCTTCTGGATTTTGGGCTGTGGGATCACCTAGAGACTTTGGTCTATACAGCGCTGATCAACGATTGAGATGTTTTACAGCAACGAGTGAGAACATCTCTCAGTGGATTCGAGGGAAACGAGAAATATTCTAAAGAGGGCACACCTCTGCGAGAAAGAGCTGAAAGATTTATCGAAATGCATGGGAACCGAGAAGAGCATCTGTTGTAGAGATCACATGAACATTGCTCATGCAGGCATTTGTTCCTGGGAATTTCTTGCTGGTTTAAGTGCGTACTAAACCCCCTTAAAGCTTTTAACCATTCATAACACCCCTAATTTTGCTCTTACCCACTGGGGGATTCTGGCATCAGCAGTTTTAAAACTTGGAAAAATAGTGTCAGTAAGTCGGCCAATCATTTCGTTAGGTACTTACTATGTAAGGTAGCCACTTAATAGTTTGTTACTTAGTTGGTCGGTTTATTTTTTACATTAACATCATCGTGATGAGAGCTTGAAAATGAAACTTATGTATACGTCTGTATGCTTGTAGACTCATGGCAGCAGAAAATGGTTAAGCCTTACTCTCCCATGAAACTACCATGTGGACGTGATTATATAAAAAAAATATACAGACAGCGCGCAGAAGCCATACAAAATCATAAAAATGCCAATGTTCGCAACATGAGACAAGGCGAAGCCCAGCACAGAAATATAGAAGGCTTAAAACTTGGCGGCGGTGACGTTCACAACCGGCCAAGTGTCTAAGTTGCCGTTGCAGCGTGGGATACCTAAGATAAGGCGCAATCTGTTGTGGTAAGCTTGAACTGACAGGGCCTTGTATATATTATTTATATGTACGTGTAAATTAGGTATTCATAATTTTTATATGAAATTTTATATATGAAGCTACATAGCGACAATGACTCAAACACGGACTAGATAAAGGGCAGATCCGTTCTGAAGTCAGGGGTCCGCCCCGTGTAAAAGAAATCATTGCAAGAGCCTAAACAACTGAAACATATCTGGTCATGACCCCCAAAAGGGCTTGACACCGAGACCGATAGGCTGACAGAGGATCGGTCGCGAAGTTACTTGAAATGGACTTCTGTTGAAGGATAATATTGGTTACTTCGTTCACTACTAAATAGTTTGGTAAGCTTTTTAACCTTTAATTTGCTGTTATTCAGTTATACAGTCGGTTGGTATAGTAACAGCGCTCAACATTATTTACTCGAGAGGTACCTGTTTCAATCTCAGCCAGGTTAGGACCGTCATGAAAAATGATCTTAAACAGTTTAAACTTAAGTTTGTAAGCAAATTTTCTACCTACCCTCCCCTCTGGAAAATTTTGGAGTTTCCCGTGATTTCAACACCCACAATCATTTTCGCTGATATCTCTAAGAAGACTTTCATCTGATTCGTTCGGAATACTCGTGCATTTAAGCCTTCTTCTGGACAAATTAATTACGAATAGGGATTCAATGCGCTGCAATACAGAGAGAGTGGTTTAATCTGATATATCGCCTGGCAGTCTGCATCACAACAGAAATGTCGAAATGAAACGTGTATGGCTAATAACATAAAGAGTCTCGAGGTGGCAGCACACAATGTAATAGCAGCTGTTATCGAGTTGTAAACAGTAGCCCCTAGCGGACAAACATGAAACACTTTCAGAAGCATCGGTGCAAGCGTGGATTTATAACGACCTATGGGTCCATGGAGTTATACGTTCCCGCAAAATTAACTTGAAATCTAGAGTAACAACAACTACCTCTATTCCGTCAACAAGACAGATTGCACAGGAAGCGGCAAAGAAATATATTGAATTGGGATCGCAATTTATATGCGATTAAAGGAAATAAAAATTGCTTCAAATTGGCATATTGATCCATCGGCTAATTTCCCGCGGTTTATTTAAGACGTTTACCGTATCGAGACTATATACAGTCGGAGAGTAGATCATAGATATATGGCGAATTTGAAAGAAGCGGTCGTGGTCCAATCAGCGAAATGTCTCGGTATTTGCCTGTAGGGACTGCGGGCAAACTCCGTCAAGTTTCCGGATATCCCTTTCGAGCCAAGCACCCTCTGAATACAAGCCTGGACCAAGCTGTTCAGTTATCCGTGAAACAACGCCATCTGTAGTTACATTATCAGACACCATATAACATTGAAAACAAGGGGCGCAACGAAATAGAAGCCATAGAAGTCGCGTAGCTTAGAAAGGGCTAGAAGATGTAGGCTTACTGACAAGGACGGCTAAGTGACCACTACAGCCACTACGGCCACTACAGCCTTACGGCTTACTGACGTCGGAGGATTAGACACCTAACTAGCATGCAAGAAACAAGAAATTCTTAGAGTTGGAGATGTGTTTTTAGTGGCTCTTAGGAAAATAATCTTCATGGTCACTTCATGATGATTTTATTATCTCAGAATCTACAGGGTCAAATGGTAGGATGATAGAAATAATTTAGAAGGAAGCAGTTGTGTCCTAATTGGGGTACCATTTGTCTAGAATTGCTGTGCAAAATTACAAGAAACCTCTGTCCGGATAGAAGCCGGCATAATTCAGGCGGTACAGCGACTAGGCTATTTTTCGGACGACCAGGGTTTGATCTCCGGTAAGAACAAGTGATTTTTTCTCTTCTCCACAGCGTCCAGACGGTCCAGACTGGCCTTAGAGCCCAACCAGCCTTTTATAAAATGAGAACAAAGGGTCCCATCTCCAGTAGTTAAAGCGGCAAGGACACGAAGCTACCACTTGTCTCCTAGTGCCAATGCCAAGAATTGTGGAGCTATACTTCCACTCCCCAATAAGCCTTCATAGCATAGCGCATAATTTTACAGTTAGGTACAGGGATAGATTTACCCTTCCTTTTTACCTCAATAAGGATAGCCAGTGTCCTGTCCCACATTTGAACCGAAGACAAATCCAGATGAAGAGAGGTTTGTAGAAACACAAACTGTTAAGAAAAAGTTTTTGTTTTAATATGAAATGGATTGGCTTTCAAATTTAGGCCTTTTTATTGCCAGGTGTTTTAACCAGGGCCTGGATTTTGATGACCTGAAAATATTTAAAAATGACCTATAAAATGATAGAAAAAATCCAGAAATATGACATAAAGGAGAAAAGAAAGAACACTTTCCTTCCATGTTATTCACATTTCAGAAAACATGAAGAAAAATTCCCTAAAATGGGCAAAAATGACAAGAAATAACTTTAAAAGTCCCTAAATTTACCAAAAAGTTACTTTAAACCTAAAAATGTCAACAAATGACAAAAAATTACCTATAAAATTTACATTTCTGTAACCAGCAGCTCATATCCGAGATTTATATATTTAAGAGTCGCATAGGATACAAGGAAAAAAAAGATGACATGTCATCAAAATCTGGGCCCTGGTTATAACCTTTGGGTTCCTAGACTGGAGAGAGTTATCAGCTCAAGTCATGCTGCTTTCATACAAATTTTCAGAAAATATTCAAATAATGAACAAGAAATTACTGGAAAGAAAGAGGTTAGAACTTATATCTTTACTGCTGCTGAGTGACATAAAAATATTCTGAGAAATGCAAATTAATCAAAGTTGAACCCCACAATGGTCATCCATCCACATTTTGAATGAAGAACTAGTTAAAATAAAATCAACTGTTGTAGGCATTCATTGCAGAGTGATTCATTTCATAGAACATAAACATTTGAACATCATTCTGAGATTAATTCATGTGACAGTTATCTGTTCCCAGAAGTTAAAACAAGAATTATATGTTTATAGTCTTGGGTCTGATGAATGTACTCCACAATTATTCTCATGTACATTGCTGGAAATTATTCACTGGGCGACTTAAAAGGAAGACTATTAGGTATTCTACTTTTATCATAACAAAGAATGAATTACATATATTTCAATCTTCTATCAATAAAATGTAAGTTAATTTTGTAATAATAGTTTTTATATCAGATGTAGGAAAATGATACATAATATTTTTAACAAATTAGTAAACAAAGACTAGACTTGAGTAATTCTGCTTCCATTCCCGTCATAAAGCACAATCAACAGGTCTCTCATTAAACTCCATACTGTGTTTGAATTGTTGTCCCTCCTTCCCTGCTTAAGTGTAGGGACCTGTAAATACAAAATGGATTCTCCCATGGATCAATACTCTGTTTCCATGGCAGTTTCATACCAGACTCCATCCAACCCCTCTTCCCCATTCCTTACTAGTGTACAGTAGAGTGTGTACTCATTGGCACGGAAAGTAGGCCACAGTGAAAGAAGATTTTAAGTTGAAGCTTTTGTGTTGACATTTATTGTCATAACAAACTAGTGATTTTAGTGAATTACTTTGAGTGTTACATTAATATTAAACACTTTACTTACAAATCTGATTCATATTAAATAGAATAGCTATTAAGACTGTAATTTTATAAAGATTTTTAAAAATTTTTAAGGTAAGTAATCTTTTGTTTATTTACATAAAATAACTTGTTCCTGTGTTGAGTAGATAAGAAGCAGCACTGTTTGAAACTAAGCAGGGTGAGTTGTGCTGTAGTCCTGCTTGAAATAAGGGACTGTCTTGCATATAATTTTTGATGTAGATATCCAGTTTGAATTTTAGTATTCAGTAGTATAACTGTACATACTAATCAGTACTGAATTAGATCTACTCCAAAGTGAAAGTTATATACAATCCATAAATCTGATAAGTGTGTAAAACAGATGTGGATTGAAAGAGCAAGTTCGGTTCCTTAAACATGTCAAAGGATTTATCTACTGCAAATGAATTTCAGGTTGACCATTCTCCAGATTTAGTAAAGTGGAGTCAGTTATTATTTCACCTATGTCCTTGAAGATAAATCCAGTATTCTCAGTGCATTCTCTTTATATGTTTTGTTCAGTCTGACTCTGACTCTTAGGCAGTATTTGAACTCCCATTCTGCAAATAATTTCCAATTTACATTAAAGATTGAAGCACATTTGAACTCTTACTACCAATTGACTACTCCTAATAAAATTCTTCAACCTTGAGTACCAAAAATGCAGAGACAAACCTGAATACTTAACGTTATATATTAAAGTGTGTACAGTTACGCAGTTTATAGTAATGGTATACTTATGTCCTCACTTTACAGATATTCACATTATGAAATTTCACTCATAGAAACTTTTATAATAAAACACATACTCTAACTTAGCTCATAATCCAAACACAAATCTCCCTATCCAAAATCCCTTCTAAATAAAACAAACATGTTGAACAAAAATGGAAACAAATAAATGTAATGTTGCCCAGTCAGCTTGCCTTACATTCTGTCCTTTTGTGCAACTTGTACAAGATTTTTTTGCTTTTAACAGTTTTGTGGTTTATATCCTGTTCATCATGGCTGTTAAGGGGAAAAGTTCCATTAAAAATGTTATTTGTAGTTTTATTTATAGCATAATTATGCTATAAATAAAACTACAAATAACATTTTACTGACTAGACACACGGTTTTGATTATTTACTGAAATTAATGACTACTTATTGCTCGTAATTAAAAATAGTTACAGCACTTTCAATGTTCTTCACATTCTACAAACAACTACAACACATTCCAAGACTTCCCACTCTACTGTCTTATGTACTTGTTGCTGGTAGTGGCTTCTAACAATGAGAATTCCTTTTGGTGCCTCTGTGATCAAAGGCTCCTTTCTGGTTGGCAGATGTCTGAATGCTGACAACATACTGCGGCCCTGTCTGTAGGTCCTGATGGTGCTCGCCAGCATAGTCATTTCTAGTTTCAGTTCTCATCCAGATTGTTGATCCTCCCTGTACTTACTTCGGCATGGACTACCTGCATCTTACTGGAGTCCATCTTCTGGGTATATATATTTACATGGCTCACACCAGACTTGCAGCCCACATTGTCCCAAGCCCCTCTTATGGATCTCACAGCTTTGACCTTTGGGAGTGGCACCAAATGCACAGGGATCATGCTGATTGAAATTTCCGTTTTTTCTCAGATGCAGCAATGGAAGCTACAGTGTTCAGACACTGGGATTTGGGGCAATAATTCTTCACAAAATTCCACAAAAACTATGTATCTTGTGATGATGGATAATATTATTGCTCCTTTTATCATCATGTTTTCTTGCTTGTTTTTCTAGCCTTATAGTTAAAGAGATTAGTTCTCTCCTGCTTCTTCACAAGGTCTCTCAGTTCGTTACAGCCTTCACTAGTCATTTCCTGGTAAAAACTTCTAACAGAGATTCTTCAGCTTCTTTTCCCACATTCTTACTCGCTGGCTAATTCTCTGTAACTGAACTCAACTGCACCAACTAAGTCTTCTCTTCGTACACTCTTCTCAGAGTCAGAGAGTCAGAATTACTTTACAACTGGCAGTTTTCTGCCAGTCAGTTCGCCTTCATGCCAAGCCCCTTGAGCCCCATGACCAGTATTCTTTTAACTGAAAACTTGCAGTGATAGTACTTATGTAACATCCTCTCTGATGAGAGGAAGAGTCTTTTGTTTACAATTGCTGCTGGCCCTTGCCAGCCTAGTCATTCTCAGGTCCTAGTCCCACGGGACTCGTGACCATATTTTACTGTCTCAGATTTGAGACTCCCCCAACCTAGAGGGCCAGGTCCTCGTCTTTATATCCCCCAGGAATAGGGTGGTCCAGTTACACCCCCAGGCACTGAATTCCCTTTTCATTGCCTCCTATGACTCATAGGGCTATGATGGAGGTATTTGAACCAACCTCCACACAGGGTTCTCTAACTACCTTCTAATCATGCCCCTTGCTTGTAACCTCTCAGCATGAACTGCACAGAAAACATAGTTCCTCCGTTCCTGTACCATTGTTGCATTCATGTCTTTTTGGGTTCCCATGTGATCACTACTCAGCCAGTCCATTGGCATGCTGGTGGCTGTCTAGCAACAGCTGTTTTCCTATTGTTTGTTTTGCAGTCGTCCAACAGCAGGTCTATAAACCATAACATTCATGACCTATATTTTGGAAGGAAGAGGTCATTTTTGTTTTTTTTTTTAGGGGGGGGGGGGGGAACTAACCCCAAATTACAACATTACATTTGTGGGAAATAGCAGTTCACATTTACAAAATGTTGTTTTATGAGTTATTTCCAGGAATATAACTATTCATAAGAGTAGGCACTGCCTGCATTGAGTTTCGCTTGAATATTGTGACCCAGCCATGTATTATTACACACATGTGCATCAACAACAGTAGTATTTGTCTGTTTTCTGCATTCATAATTACATTCCAACGTAATAATGTTATGTTATTTTTTAACCTTTTAACATGAAGGGAAGTAATCAGAGCCTTCGTACAAATGACAATGTAACCCTTTCCTCTCAGTTGCCCAAGACTAAATCCTTCATTACTTACAAGGCGTAGTGAATGAATTAAGAGAAGCTGACTTTTTACTTGAACACATATTTTGCATGCCATTGTAATCCATCATGTCATTTAATATCACTTATTATATACTGTCAATTACAATTCACATTTAAGTTGGCTGTTTACCCAACATGTTTCAAAATTACAATGTCATCTTCAAGGGTGCCTCTTATTTGTTGACAGAATTAAAGTTTATTTACTTGCACCAAAATGATAACCAGACTTAAAATTCTAAATTGAGACCCCAACACTTTTGCAGTGATGATGGAAGTTGACAGGCAGTTCTCTTCCAGCATTTTGTACTTACACATAGTCCAATGCTGACCACTAGGTCCCACCCCCTTAAGATTTCAGGCAGTCCTTTAGGGGATTAATTTAATAGAAATAATATTTTAAAACATATGTTACTAAAGAAATTTTATTATTATCTAGTGGTTTCCAGTGAGTCCGAATTCGATTTTACTTCAAATAAAGAGATGTTTATGATTGATGATAATTCAGTTCCCCAAATTATATCAAATTTTACTAAAAATACAACTTTACTGAGAATTGTTACAAAAAACGGTGGTCGTTTCAATGCATCTTCTCCATTCAAAATTTTAATTGTACAGTGAACTGCATAATTGGAAATGTCTTAATATTTCTGTACTAGTGTTTCAGTATCAGGCATTGAGATGAGACACATTTACATTGATGTGTACAGGGCATTTCACAGATTAGTGTTCAACTCTTCAAGATATTCAATACTTCCATGTAATCTAAGTTATATCTGTATCACCACAAAAACTTGCCATTGGATTCCTTATGCTGCAACATCTGCATGCCAAAGCATATGTTGCATTCCATGCCATTTCTTGTATGTCCATAAAGAATTATTTTCTTTATGAAGAGAAGTTTTTATCATCATGCCCAGATCTCCAGGCCAGAGGATCTTGCCTGTATCACTATTTATAGATGCTTAATCAGTGAATTTATTTGCAACATTCATATATACCTGAAGGCCATATCCTCAGTCCAGAACATAAGTACATGCCATCATATAGCAACAAGAGACCTATTGAATTGGATTAATGTTACATAATCCCTATGTATAAATGTCTAATGCATGATATTCTGTAATTATTCTGTTGTTATGTATGTTACAGTCAGAGTTAGCAGGAGTTACAAATAGGAGCAGAAGATGCCAGCAGTGGCAGGTATGCTTGAGTCAGTATTGCAGTATCAAACATTGCTGATAAGAAATTCCTCTAGATAGCAGCATCATTGGGTGCATGTTCCTATTCTAACAACTTTATGTAACTGAGATCTAATATCTTTGAAGATGCTAATTTTTAAAAATTTGCAACTGAAAAGAAATTGTATAAATCAAAGATGTATAAAATTTTAGTGCAACAGTCATGTATTGCAACTGAAAAGAAATTGTATAAATCAAATTATAATTAATTTATACTTTCAAATGGTTAAATACGTAAATATGTAAAATGTTTTCAAAACTAAACAACAAACATATCTCATACTACACTCTTGTGCTGCTTAGAACACATACAAATTATGAATTCCAGCTGTTAGTGGTACAGGTTTCTTCTAGAGGACCCAAAGGTTAGCCCTGTTGATGGTCTGTCACTGTGTGGTTGTATTATGCAGTACCTAAGATATTACTAGTTTTGAGAACATTTCTAAGCCTAGCAATCCTTCTCTCTCTCTCTTTCCCTCCTGCCCCCCTCTCTTTCAACCAGACAAACATATCAACAAACATGGGTCTAATTAATCATTCCTTATAATTTATTTTATTTGGGACATTCACATTGAAATATAATTACAAATGTAAAATATAATATTTAAATACTAAAACATGCTACTAAACCTGAAACATAAGACGACCTGGTAGTATTTTTGAAGTCTTCATGTGACAAATTGAAAGATATCACAATATTTTCTAGAGAGCAGCAAAGAATGTCATGTACATAGTGTATTTCTGCCTTTTCAAAGTTTGTACATTTTTTACTATTTCCTTGAAAGTGTATTAATTTAATCCAACACATTCTCACAAATAGTATGGTTTTCTTAATAGCTAAAGAAAGTTAAAACTGCTCAGTATCTTCTTCAATTACCATAAGTATCTTAGCAAATGTATCATCCTGTGATTATGCATTTATAATTGTCTCTATTGTATTGCTTATTTATAACATCATCAACACCATTAATTCCTTGAAGTTTAGCCTAGAAGCCTCTTCTAACTTCATACCATCTATTTTTGTATGTGGGGGGAGGTTTTTGTGCCTAGACTCTGTAGCACCAGAAGGTAGGATGACTGATGAATATGAAGAGGAAAGGTTTTGAAAAGAAGTGAATGTAGCCTAACGAAGGTAGTATCATGACACAGAGGTACTGAGGAAACCAATTAAGAACTCGGAATAACTGCTGTTACGGGCAGTATTTTGAGCAAGCGCCTCCTAATTACATCTCTAAAGCATTACCATTAGATCAACCTGTTCGGTTTTGTTCTTTCTAAACCTCTCTTTTCTTTTAGTTTATATTTCATTAACTTACCCCTCAAATAACAAGATGCACATCTTGTAGCTATATTTAAATATCCAAATGTTTTAGAATAGCTTATGGTGTCACAACCATAAGACCTGACCATTAGACAACTGGAAACCTGTGCATGACATAGGCAGATGAGTCCTTCTTCATGGTTTTCCCTACATCTGGAAGAGTTATGTCTGGAGAATAACCAAGGAAGCCCACAATCTGGAATGCCTGGTTGCAGCAGTGAAATATGGAAAATCTGAAGGGAAGAGACCACTTGTAAGATCTTGGTATAGATGAGAGGATAATATTAATGTGCATGTTACATGAACACAGTATGAGGGTGTGGATTCATTTGGCTTAATAAAGGAACACTGGTGGTATCTTTTTAATATAGTAACAAAACTTCAGCCTCCTTAAAATTCAAAATTCAAAAATCTGAAGATAGGGTTTAGCTTTACTGATGGGGCCCAAATGAGTAGGTTCCACCTGAAGACAGAGACATAATCCAGTCTCTGAAATGTTGTGCAGTTTAACTTAAAACAGGACAATGTATAATGTCCAGAAACACAATAATTATATAAATTTCTTTACTAGCTAGTTGGTTACCTGTGTATCACAATGAATCAGTTGCCAGATATGTAAAATTGGTTTTCTCCAGAAAAGGTTTAGATGACATTATAAGATCTTGCGCTATATGCTACATTCTTGTAGTGTAGAATAAACTACAGAACATGCATAATAATTGTAGTTCTTTGCAGCAGGACAGTGAGAAATGGCTAAGATTGATGGAACTGGCTTGGGCTACTCTTACCACTTTCCTTCTGGCGGATGGAGTCTGAAAATTCGCAACACTCTCTCTCAGTTCAGTGACCTGTTCAGTGAATTTAACCGTTATATTGCACCAGCATACCATCATGATAGATGTGAGAGGTAAAAGGCATTTCAGACTATTACTATTATTATAGGTGACAGAGACCTTACATCATTTGTTTCTCTGTAAATTTCAGTAAAGATATGATATACAGCAATTCATAAATTTAAAATGTGGATACATAAAACCAAAATTGGATTCCAATTGAAAATTTGTCATTTACAAGAGTTCGTCAATCTTATATTAACCAGCATGGATCAAGCAAGAATGCCAGACATTCCTGCTGTGTTGCACTTCCACATTATTGGTCCCAATTTTCAACTTTGTCAAAGCAGGTCATCAGCAAGTGAGAGTTGTCAGTTACACCTTCTAAGCACACTAGCGGTTTTTTTGAGCTGTATTTTTCAAATGTAGAGTTACTATGCAAATGTAAAACAAAAAAAGTCTTTCTACTGAAAAATCACAGCACAAAGAGGTCAGTAAAATATTCTCATATATTCTGCATACACTTAAATGATATGAAATTCATAATTTTATTGATTTCACACAGGTCTGTACAAATGCGCCTCTATTCTATGCACAAAAGGGAGTTTGTCATGGTGTTCTTGGCTTTCTTTGCTTGCTTTGGACTTGGCGTATTCATTGGGTTAGCAGGTAAATAGCAATAATTATATGGTGTACAGTGATGTTAGTACCCAGGTGTTATATTTCAGATTGAAAAAAAAGGACCTGTTCATGATTTCCCTGAGGGTTAAAAGATATTCGGTACTATCATGATGATTCAAGCTACACTTCATGTTTTTCTTTAGAATGAACACAAATTAAAACTTTATTTTAAAGATATCTTTCAGTATTCATTCAATAATTCATCCGGTAATCTGTCAGATGACAGGTCCACAGTCTCGCACAGGCCATCACACCTGAGTGACATTTCCTTAATTTCCCTGATGTACATTTCTGGCATCACACAGATATAATATTGCCTTGGGCTCATGATTAATGATCATAAATGAAGCAATTTCATTAATTTCTGTTTAAGTCATTATACAGAGTTTCCCATGACAGAAAGTTCATTCTTCACATATTTCCAGATGAGGTCTTTTAAGTCTGAAGTTGGCCGCGCCATAGCTCAAGCGGTTACTCACTGGATTTCCACCGCGGTGGCCTGGGTTCGATCCCATGTCTGGTCAAGTGGGATTTGTGATGGACAAAGTGGCACTGGGACAGGTTTTCTCCAAGTACTTCGGTTTCCCCTGCCAATCTTCATTCCACCAACTGCTACACAATCACCCTCACCTATTATCTGGGGCTGGTACAATAGGCCAGAAGTGGCCGCATTACAAGGGACTTAGCCCCACCCCACTAGCAATAAAAAAGTCTGAAGTTAGAGAAATTGTTTTGCTTATTCTCAGTATGAAAGGATTTATGAATATTCTAACTTCTTAAGGGAATGATTTCTAAGCACAGTAAGCTAAAAATGAGCACATGTTTGGCAACACTGCTGAGTAGATTGCTTGCTATATGCTGTATCCTGTATTTTCTAAATGCACTTGTATGCTGGTGAAGAATGTGCATATATCCACCTTATTTATACATTCTGCAAAGGGAATGTGGCAACAGTTCTCCAAGGATAATAGAGACAATTCTCATATTTCCAGACACCTGAGATATGCATGTTTTTGTGCATTATGAGGAAATATAGAATTCCCAAAGCTCAAGACTGTGTGTCCATTACAGCAAACAGTGGACAAAGAAGAGTCACACAGTCCAAACACCAGTGCTCACAGTCTATATATCCCACTTAGCAGAGCAACTAGTTCTCTTTTAAAGAGATAAATAACTTGCCTAAGAGTAGTCATTCTCAATAGATATTATAAAAATTATTGGTTCAATGAAAGTTCCACAACAACATACTTGCTTTTTCTATCTGTACCTTACAACAGGTTCAAATTATCATAACTCCATCACTGTAAAATAAGCAAGATGATAACTCTTATTTTAAAATAGTACAATTAATAATGTTTTCTAATGTAGCTGATGTATTGACTTTATGTCATAGGACACACTGTACATACTGTATTTAAATCTTACCTACTATTAAGTTCTCAGTAATCCTGCTTTGACTACAGAGGTTTTATGAATGTAACATCACATGAGATAATAAGATGATCATGAACGTTGAGAATGGTAGGATGCAGGAGGAGGTAACTGTAGCAAATTGTAATGTATTGTAACGTGTGATCACATCTCAGAAATCACCCAAAGTAGCTCAGAAAAACTACGTAAAATTTCAAGGAATCCATTACAGCCTAGTTCAAGGCACCATCTTAAAATTCACTTGAAGGGGCTAAAGAAAACCACAAAGATGTCAGTGTGGAGTGTTGTTAATCCAGCAGAGACTAGAATTTATTAGCTATGAAAAAGATGTCAATACTATACACACATGCTTTGTCTGTCTTCTGGGTATATGACCTTCAAACACAACCAACCAAAGATTTAATTTGTATGTCTTTAGTGAAATCTAAAAAGTAGCATAATCAGCATTGAAGCAGTTTTCTGCTATATCTGGAAGAAATTTCTTGCAGCAGTTAACTCCTGAGAACTAACATCTATTACAGTCTTCACTAGAGACTACAGTAGCAAGACTTAGTTACAGTATATTCAGAATAGATAGACCATAACTTTGATTTGTTGAAGATTACACAATTTCTGAATACACACAACCACAACAAGGATTAGTAGCTCAAAAGCTTGTTCATACATGTTTGTATTCTTATATGTATATTTGTTAATTTCCTTCCTGCCTTTATTTTTGGTCCTATTACATAAGAATTATGAATTCATCCAATATAAATATATTTCATATGTGATCAGAGGTGAATTTATTTTATATAAAAATACATAATTGTTTCCAGTATGAGTAATCAGGAACCATCTGGGTAGGAAGGTAATATGCCCGCAAATTGTCAAATGTTCATTATATTTTCTTCCTTTATGACTCATGAAGTGTCTTACTCACTCATGTCACTCGATGTACTAGGTCCGCCAATCACAAGCACATCAGAACAGAAAGCATCTGTCCTCATATCGAAACAGAATGGAAGTGACTTAGCCAATGGCCCATTCATAATGATGACACCCACAGTGTCAACATACAGCCAGCAGCTTTGGGTAATTGCCAAAGTCACAACTGATAACAAAGATGGTGAGAGAATTTATTACCTTGATCAGCACTTGATATTGCATTAAATAAGCATACGGGAATGGTAAATGTAAAGAACACTGATGCTTAATGAAGTCATTCATGATTTAAGAAAGAAATTATTTTATAAATTATACAAAATGCTATAAGTAACATAAATAAATCTGTGGTACTAGGTCTTCCTTCAGAAGTTGACAGTTATTCAGCTGATCTAAAGAATTCCCTATTGTTTTGGAATCCAGAGGTCTGTCAGTGTGGTTGCAGAAGCGACATCCAAAGCCAACTTGTCCAGGCTTTATCTCAGAACAGTTTTCATATTGTCCTTAATTTTACATAATGGTTTCCAATTCTTTCCAAGGATTCTGTATGCATATCTTGTTAAGTACATGTGTTGCTTATTTCAGCCATCTTGACCTTCACATAATCACCCTAGCAGTGACAGGTGGAGAACACACATTTTTAAGATCTGAGTCATGTATTTTTCTCATTTCTCCATAAATTCGCCCTGGTAAGTCAAAATAAGGAACCAGAGCAGTGTAGTCGGTATAGTGACTGGCTACGGCTGGACGACTAAGGGGTCAGATTTCAAACCCTGGTAGGATCAAGAATTTCCTCTTCTCCACATCATTGAGACTGTCTCCTGTCCAATTGGTGCTGGGGGCTCTTTCTTGGGGGTAAAGCAGCAGGGTTATGAAGCTGACCACTCACCTCCAGCTACTGATGAGGTCACGAAAATGTGGATCTATACATCCACTCCCACATGTGCCTTCATTGCATAGTGCTTAATTAATTAAGCACAGGGACAACTTTACCTTTAAGTCTAAAAAAACCCATAAAAAAATTTCTCAATCTATGGTCTTCCTTCAAACTGAGAGACTAAGTTTATGTTTGTATATAACAGCAATTACTATTACAATATTATGTGTTTTAATCTTCAGGTTTAGAAAGAAAGTCAGAAATGTATGGTCAAATAATGATACAAATTTCCTCAATTTATATATATATAATTCTTTCCTGTAGGTCATACTAGATGAATGTGAGTGATCAGCTTGATAAAGTGGCCACTTTACTTCAAGAAAGAAGCCCTTAGAATAGGAGGCCGAGTGGCCCCAGAGATATGGAAAAGAATCCCTTCCGTGTTTGGAACTGAACTCTGACTATCCAACTCATAGCCAGTCATAACCTAGACTCTCTTAGGCAGACATTTTTATATTCTCTCTAATCGCCTCCAAAGCTTTATTAACATCAACCTCAGTTTCCAAGTTTTCCAAAACCGCGAACCTCTTTGAGATTTCAACACAATACTGCTCTTTACCCTCTAACTTAGGCACCATAGATCACTGCAGATCACGGTGCAAGGGCCGAGAAGGCCCACCCCTTATACATACCCTCTACCTTATTTAATTTCTTGAGCATACATACTGTATATATACATTTATGTTATATGCTGACCTGAGTAACCCATGTCAAAGTGCAATTCTGTTCTTGTAATGTCATTCTCTCTTTTCCAGATGAAAGCTTTGATAAAACATTCCATGTGAGTGTGGCCATTGATGGCATAACAGCAGACCACAAACCAGTAACAATTCTGCACAGTGACAGAGCACATAACAGGTGTGGATCCGTCATTAACTCGTTTGCACAGAAGAACATTCCTCTTCAGTAACTATTTTTTTACATGGAATATTGATTAGTTCCTAACGAACTACTGTTTAACAACCCAAAGATTTTAATGTGCATGGTTAATAAGTTATATCATTTGACCAGCCATACCATGTAATCATGAGTACCCAGAATTGTCGATACAGCCATGGTTAATTTTATACCACTGTAACTGCCAAGGACTCATTCTTCTAACGGAGACCCATCCAGTGTGTAGCTCATGGAAGTAATATTTCCCATATAGGATTTGTGTCTCTGTCCATCTGTACTTATTTATTTATATATTTTCATACAGAAATTACAGATGTTTCATCCAGGACGTGATCATCACAGTCCAGTCCTATTTCCAATCTTTTTTATCTACTGAAAACTTTCCACCCCTGCACTTAAATTGAATGGCTTTGAGGAATGACTGAGGAAAAAAATAAAAATCTTCAGGATGCAAATCATGTATACAAATCAGTACCAAGAGGTTTTACTGAAGCTGGTTGAACATGTGGACTGTACTGAAGTGGTGCATGATGGGAAACAGTGGTAAGCGTCTGCTGAAGTCTTAATGCCCATTTGCTGTGTAAGAACAGGAAATTTCTTGAACATTTGAATAACCACTAATTGTTTCTGTCCCATGAAATTAGTTCTGATATTTAGAGAAACCCAAATTACCACTTGTAGGAAGTGTAGGAAGTGCCCAGAGTATGAATGTGCCTAAATATAACATCCAGGATCACAGTCAGCACTTCATATTGCAGGACCCGTCACCTTATATGTGAGCGTCAGTCTTGTGAAGAATTTATGGTCCTCCACCTTGGGTTTCTTGACTACACGCACTACATGTTGACAGTGCGTTTCCATGGACTTGAAAGCTTCCATCAGCGCTATAATATCATAGAAGTTACATTCTTTGTAAGTAGTCAAGTCACATATGTCTTCACAAAACCTTGAATTTAAGGGAAGCTGTGTCCATGTATCAGGTTATATTTTGGAAAATTATAGAACTGTCATAAATTAACGATCATAACCTAGCAGATCATGGACCTTCTAGCTCACAAAATAGAAAATTTATTCACAAATAAGAATTTTAATTCTAGTGTGAAGATGTACTTATAATTTTCACATAAATTAAGAGGCAGATAACATGTAATATTGAAAATGAACAATTTTTATATACCATCATAAAGAAGACTGGAAAGATACAACCCATACTGAAGTACACATATTTTCCATACACATTCTGCACATTAATCCTGTAATACAAAATTTCAACAGAATTCATCCAGTGGTTATTATTTTTTTCAACATACAAATTTCACTCAGAATTACTAGGTTTATGGACTTTGTCCATTGTCCGGAATTTTTTTAGACTACTGGATGATGGAGAAAGTCCAAAAATGCAGTAATTCTGAATGTTATACATCATGAGAACCCTTCAGAAACAAATTTAATTTTAAACTATTTTAAACAGATATAATTCATCCTCTTATGAAAGTATACATCTGTGATGCAATTCTTTATGAGAACAGAAATTGTCCTACAACTCTCTGAAAGGAGCTCTAATATCAGATTGTAATATAATTGGTCCACCGCTTCTTGCATAGAAGATGCAGGTGGACAAACAAACATGACTTCACCAGAATGTGTTCAACTTATGCATGTCGTGCAAAGAGTACATAGTAATCCAGCAATATACTTGAATATTATAATTAAATCAATCATTCTTTCTGATTGCACATTATAGATTCCTCAATTAATGTAGCAGTATGTTAATCTTTTTTAATGCTAGTGGGGTGGGACTAAGTCCCTTGTACTGCAGCCACTTCTGGCCTATTGTACCAGCCCCAGATGATAGGTCAGAGTGATTGTGGAGCAAGTGGTGGAATGAAGATTGACAGGGGAAACCAAAGTACTCGAAGAATACCTGCCCCAGCGCCACTTTGTCCACCACAAATCCCGCTTGACCAGACCCAGGCTCAAACCTGGGCCACCGCGGTGGGACGCCAAAGACTAACCGCTTGAGCTATGGCACGGCCCGTTAGCAGTATGTTAATTAAGGTCCTTCCTTTTTCAGAATTCAATTTCTATATCCCTAGACCAGCAGCCTTAATGATAAGTGTCCACTGTTTCACATTCTCCTGAATTCAATATTCAATTTCATTTCCTCTCCCAAAGAACCCTTAAGTTTGGGTTTTGAAATGTAAAGTGAAACTGCTATTTAGTGTTCCTCACTTTTATAAAAATGTAGATAAATTATTCATTGTAGTCCAATGCCAAAAACAGGGAACTGATTTTTGAATTACATTTTTACTAAGGAGCCAAATATATGATGGCCAGACATTAATTAACAATGATTAAAATATAGTACAATTTCTTCTTTAAAATTTTAGCTGTTATATATTGTGATATGACAAGGAAAGTAACCATGTTCCTGGATACTTCTGCTAACATGGATAAAGTTCTTCATCTCTTAATCTATCAGTAGAGATATGATTCTTATTAATCTTTCATTTCAGTTTAAAAGTTATAATCCTGCATTCACCCAAGTTGAAATTTGGTTTCGGTTCATCTTTCTCCTTGGCACATTTGCTGTAACGGTAAGCTACCAAACTTTGTACGCATCTAGATCTTGTTAAATAAATTTTATCTGCATCATTCTAAATAACAGAAACGATCTGTATATATCATAGGCGCTGGTAAGAGAGGGGGACATCTCCTCCTCCTGGAATTTAATAAAAAAACACAGTTTAAGAAAGAAGGAAATATATCAAATACAGAAACCAGAAATTGGCCATATTTTTTTCAAATTAATCTTCTTCTCTCCATACTCTAGGGTGAACAGTAAAAATGGTCTTAAATGGTTTAAACAAGTTTTTAAGCAAATTTTCTGGTTGTCCCTCTCTCTCAGAAAATTTGCGTTTCCCTTTAAGAAATCCTGGCAGCATGAACAATATGCTTATATTCTGAATGTAGTAAGAGCAGAACTTTTTACATTGAATGTACAAAAGTTGTCAATTATTGTGGGGTGTGTTTCAGTGTTGGTTTGCACATTCATTGCGCAAATTTGTGATGTATGATTGGTCCATTGAACAACAGTGGATGTCTGTTCTTCTGCCTTTACTCTTACTGTACAATGGTGAGTCAAATTACTGTTAAGGTTTTGTGGTGAAAATTATAACGTCGTTTAATGGTAATGCAGCGAGATAAAGTATAAGTATATAAGATAAAGTATATAAGTTGTCAATAAATGTAAGAATGGTGTAGGATGGTTAAAGCCTATAACTGAACCTAGTTAAGTGTTCATAGTGGCTTAGCTATATTCCAGCAAAACTCAATTTTAAGGAAGATTCAATTTATCTTCTGCTGATTTCAGATCCAATCTTTCCAATGATGTTCCTTATAAACTCATGGCTGCCAGGAATGCTAGATGCATTATTTCAAGCTTCATTTTTATGTGCTCTTCTGCTGTTTTGGTTATGTGTATACCATGGTCTGCGTCAGGCAAGTTGTGAGACTGTTTCTTTCAACTGTATTAATATTCAGTGAGTTGACAGATTGTAGTGTGAACTCACTATTTACACAGATATTTTTATAGCAGAACTTGATAGAGATTAGTTCCAAAAACATTCTGTAAATTAAGAGTGTAAAATGCCACTTTGATTTTAATCTATTACATTATTTGAATTAAGTGGTCTTATAATATGCTGTTTACTTTTGATGAGGAACTTCCTGGGAAGCAGCATCATGAAAGACAAAGCATGAGATGGGAAGATAACATTAAAATTAGTATGACAGATACAGGTTGTGAGGATGGGGTTGGATGAATCACATCTGACCATAAGCTTCACCTTTAGATTATATTGCCACACTTGATCAGGTGTAATTCTGCTATCAGAGTTCATAAAAGATAAAGGTGAAGGTGCCCATATAAGCACCAGACCAAGACAACTCATAAGGGAATGGAGATATGGCTCCATACATTCTTAACTGCAGCACTAGATGGATGTGAGTGGTCAACTTCAGGCCTCAGCTACTTTACCCCTGGGGAAATGAACTGTGGTACTAGTTTGACCAGAAAGCCCGTCTGGATGCCTGTGAAGAAGAGAAGAAATCCCTTTCCCTTGCTGGGAATTGAGCTCCAGCTCATAGCATAGTCAATGTACCACCTCAACTATCCTAGCTCACATCAGAGTTAGCATTGTTTAATAAATTTATAAATAAATATATGTCAGTTTGAGAGTCATCATTGGATATAAATTGAAACCAATGAAGCTTGTTACAAATTTATGAGAATGAACCTAAAATTTTAGTATCAGGATGGTAGTATTGGTTCTTTCTTTACCCACTGCTCTGCGCATCAGTCATTGAATTGATACAGTTAAATCAAGGAAAATAAAAACAGAAGCTTTTGGGCTTTGTTCCAAAATTTATTAAATATGTGATGAGGTTATCAGGGATCAGGGTTTTACTCCTATACCTTTTATAGTGTTATAGAAAGACCTAAGAATATCTTTACCTATTAGTTCTTTGTTATATAATAATTGTTCTGAATGTGCATGTAATGTAACATGTGCATTCTGTTTAATATTGAGCTGCTGAAACACAGACTTCTTACATAGTAATAGTACAGATGGTATAAACAAGATTCAAAAGAACACTGTACAAAATTTTTGTTGTGTGTGAACACATGTGTAATATGAAAATGTTTATTATATTCGTACATTTCTTTCTGTGTTCCTCTGTTCTCAGAATGAACGCCACATACTGACTTTCTATCTGCCAAAACTCCTTATTGTTGGGATGCTGTGGATATCTGCTATTACAATGGCAACATGGCAGAAGTTCAATGAACTTCAAGATCCAACATACAGTTACAAACTTGATACAAGAAACTATGATGTAAGTTCCTCAGCTTTCTTAAAACCAGGCTATCATTAATAAGTCCCATCATTATTTTCTTTTACATGGCATTACTAATCAAGAGTTTTTCTTCTTTATCTTCTTTATGTGTGTTGCTTACAAATAAGTTTATTGCATGCATGTTGAAGGATCAATAGGAAATTACTAAAATACATTTTATTTTCCATAAAATGTTAGGAAAAATGAACCTTATATTTGGCAACCTGGCAGCCAGTTCTGAATAAAACCATGGCTTAAGTCAGCAAAATTGTTCTAACCCCATTACAATCTCAAATTGGCTTAAAATTGGTACTCCAATATTCTGTAAGACATTCAATGTTTCTTTGGCCTGTAGGTTCAAATTGCTGTATTTTGAGATGTATATGATTTGCAGTCATTCTAAAAATGTTGTACCACCTATTTTTATAATTTGTTGCAGTGTCTACAATATTTAAAATATCCAGTTATTCATGAATCTCCCCATTGAATTTATGGTCTAATAAAGTGTAACTTAACAGTCTTAACAAATCATTCCAGAAACTTATATCTTATTCATCACTTTGCTGGCATCCATATTTCTGACTCATAAAAGAACATGGTAACAGTTTTATCAGACTTGAGATTTCTTACTTTTTGAATAGGATTCTATTCATTTCGTCTGCATTATGTTGAAATCCATGGAGCTTATATTCCTCATTTGTGTATGTACAGTAAAACTTGGTTATAGCAACATCGGTTTCTGTGACATCTTGTCTATTGCGTCAAATATTCAATGGTACGAACTAATTCCTCATAAAGCAACTGTTTTTATACCTTGCTTAGTACGACATGCACAAATGCATCAACCTCGTATGTAACGTCATTTTCATTCCTGAATTTCTCTGATATGGACATTGAACGTAATTTAGAAAGTGTGTATTGGGCAAGTAACAGGAAACAGGAAACTACGGTGTTTAGATCGATGAATGAATGGTTTAATTCAAATATGCTTTCATTAAATTTAGGCAAGACTTGCTGTGTAAATTTCTCAGCTAAACATAATTTTACCAAAAAATTAAATATTGAATATGGAAACAAAATTTTATTAGAGTCAAATGAGGTAAAATTCTTGGGTATGACACTGGATAACACAATATCTTGGAAAAAGCATATAGATTCAATTATAGGTAAATTAAATAAAGCCTGTTACATAATTAGGAAAACCAAACAGTATTTAAATATTGATGCCCTTAAAATGGTGTATTACGCCTTTTTCCACTCAGTGATGTCTTACGGTTTGATTTTTTGGGGAAATAGAACTCTCAGTATGTGCGTTTTTAAATTGCAGAAGAGAGCTGTTCGAATAATGGTGGGAGCTGGAAACAGAGATTCATGTAAAAAAATCTTTAGACAATTGAAAATATTACCACTGCCCTCTCAATATATATATTCTTTGATGATGTTTGTAGTTAATAATATGGATTTATTTGCAGAAAATTCAGATATATATACAACTGTAACAAGAAATAGTTCAAATTTGCATCTCCCCTCGTCAAATCTAACAGCATTTCAGAAAGGTCCACAGTATTTTGGAATCAAAATTTATAATAGTCTTCCACGCAAAATAAAACAGTTATCCAAAAACAAAAATCGATTCAAGAAAGCACTATTACAATTTCTCCATTTACATTCATTTTATGGTATTGATGAATTTTTTGATTACACGGTTAAGAAGATTGATAATTGATTTTATTGGGATTAAATAATTAATGAAAAGTTAAATTACAAGTTTTATAATTTTAAAATTATGTGTACATAAATATTTTAACATGTATTATATTTTTTGTAATTATTATATTTAATTGTTATTTTGGACTGTTGTCTATATCCTGAGTCTTACGACCTTGTAAAGGATTTTTGACATGTAAATAAAAAAGTAAAGTAAAGTAAAGATAACTGATTACTGTACTCGTATCTAGGTACAGTAAGGCACAACAATTGATGTAATCTACTGTAATTTGGTGAGTAGGCCTACCTTTAATATTAGTGCGGTGTGTATTGTCAGTGAAAAGCGCTGTAATATGTCTTTGATATTACACATTTGGGCAATTCCACGTTAATGTTATGTTAGTCTGTACTTAACTACGTATTTCACTAAAAAATGCAACATTTTAACTCGGTTTTTGGTAGATTTTTACGTGACTAACATAAGGCTACTGTGGAAGTGCCCATTTCGGTTACAACGACATTCGTTTATAACGACACTATTTTTAGGTCCCTTTGATGACGTTATAACCAAGTTCTACTGTATTTGAAACATTACAGCTGAGTTAATAAATAAATTAACCTGTTCTTATACAATGTGCTTATGTATGATTGTCAATTATTATTTTAGTTCTTTTGAATGTATTTCCTCTGATTTCAAAACAATTTTTAATGGTGGAGATTTTCAAGTTGTATAATATATACAGAGGTTGTTGTAATTTACATTCTGAGCATGCAAATATTACTTATTTATAAATAACAGACATGAAGTCTTGAGGGCTGTTTTGTTAATAATGTGTATTCAATTCTGTACACCTTTCGTGGGGGACTTCCTTGATATATAAATTAAACAGTGTGAGTTTACTGGCTCAGTGAGCATTATATTTGGAAAAAGCCCATAGATGCATTTCCTTGCACATTGTTTCCCCCCCTTCATACTTGCTGTTTTCTAATCCACCCCTTCCTTTTACCTGTCATGGTATTGTTAAGCAGTTCTGACATTCAGGACTTGAACACTGAGCAGATAATTGCTCTGGCTGTGGGCTAGAGTAGCATTTTATTGAATGGGGACTGTAAGGTGATTGTGAGTTCCTTGAATTGTGTTGGACCTGTACCTCTAAATCTTTGTTTTGACTGTTGCTTATTCGCAGCATACTCACACTGCAGTGGGTATCACTCCCACTTGATTTTCAGGAGGTACCCAGTCTGAATGCGCGTAAAGCTGATAACCTTACCACCATCTATAAGCCGACTGTCTAGATGAGGGAGCCTTGACCTCTCACACCCCTATGGGCCTTCACGGCCTGTTACAGGAACAGCTTTACCTTTACCTTTTACGTAGTGTGAACTCCTTCAAGTGAATATCAGGAGAGTCCCTCAAATCAGATCAAAATTGATTCATTCCATTTTGTATCAGTTCACTGTTCACAACATATCATCTCTCAATAGGTGCCACATAAGGGTTGCATTTCATGGTGCTCTTACAATAACCACTTATTGATTATTAAAAATAAGATTTTTATGATGTGGGTAGTTTTTTGTCATGGCATTGTGCATCCTTTAATGATAATTGCCTAGAGTTGTTGGAATGAGTTAATAAAGAATGACAAAATGGGCTGAACACATAGCATACATGAAAGAAAGAAGTTCATACAGAACTTGAATTTGAAAAGAAAGAAAAGTGATTGGAAGATCTACTTTTAGATGAGAGGGTAATATTAAAGTAGATCTTACAGAAATAGGTTGTGAAGAAGGGAAATGGACTGAATTGTTGAAAGCTTGCTACACACTTGTTTTCATCCTTGGCTTACCTCTCAACCCTTTTACCAGACTACATAGTATTATATTCCAGAATGTAGAACTCTTCATGGAGTGAATTAGTTTAGTATCTGGTACAGTGGTGATCTATTGAAAATAACTGGAACTACTTAACCACTGAATGACATCAAGGAAGCAAAGACACTGTACTAACGAATTCTTACACCACAAATTATTTTAACCTTTAACATTCAAAAGTGCTTTTCATGAGTCACTTAAAGGTTAATAATATTCTTTGTTCCTTACAGAGTTTCAAGATATTCTTCTTCGTGGCATGTGGTATATACTTGGCCTATTTGCTACTGCTGATTCTGCGTGCCTATAGTGAGCTGCGAGCTATGCCATATTTTGGTGAGTCCAGTATTAATAATATTAATATCATTCTTATATAAAGTTGTCTTTTTTTGTAGTTCATGTGAATATGACCGTGTGTATTAAATGTATTCATCACATACAGTTAAACACCCACTTCACATTTCCAAGTGCAATAGAACCCATAAAGCCTATTTTACATTGCACAGATTTCTGGTTATACAGATGTAATGCTGTTATTTTAATTTATATTTGTTATCAAATTACTTATATACTGATTCAGTGTGTATTAAATATTTGGATATAATCTTAAGTTTTCTATTGTCGACAAGTTTGTAATTGTTGCCTAACAATGTGTAGGCATTTTCACATGGCTGCAATGTTGTTAGTATATATTCTATAAAAGCTTATTTTAACAAAGATTCATATTTCTTAATTTGGCATTGTAAACAATCTGTTATTTGATTGCATCAAATTGTTTCTAATTAAAGAAGACCTTGTATGAGAGAGAGAGAGAGAGAGACATGCATGCACACACAGCATAATGAATGTATGAATGGTTTTCAGAAGGAATGTTTTTAAATGAGGTTTGAATTTTTTAACAATACAGGCCTTGAAGGCAGGTAATAAATAAAAAATTGCATTCATGGATAAATTAATAGATTAAACTCTCAGAATACTTGCTAAAAGTAAGTTCAGGATCTTTTGCCTGCCCATATCCTAAACAAAAACTAAGATACAATATGCAAGGCTATAACTTTGTTTTTCTATATGGATGTGACTTAGGTTCTGACATAAAAAAAGAACATAATTGATGGTGTTTGAGGTGAGGGTACTGAGGATAATACTGGATGTCCCACAACAGGATGTCCATGGCTTAACTGCATGCTCTTGGGATCATTTTGAGTACAAATGTTAAAATAAACATGGGTTCCATCTGTAAGTTTGTGAAGAAAATGGCAATGATAATTTTACTACATTAGTAAGTTTTAAATTTATTTCTGTTTAACTTATATTGTTGTTGTTACTGTTAGGCAAGAACCAGAGAGGCATGGTGTTGACTTACATCTGGATATTATCCTAATTATATTTTCTGGGAGAGCCTAAAATAAATGTTCAATCTTTTAGTCATTCCAGCCAAGATTCAAACCGAATACTTTCCATACAATAATGAGACGTGCTGAGCACCTCACCAATCCTTTCAGGCTGCAGAAATGTAACATAGTAGCTGGTACAGCAGGATAAATATTACTCCTTTCCCAAACTTTCCAGTCCACCATATGTACAACTTTCCTCACCTTATTCCATGGGTAATAACGTCGTATCCCTTACACACAGTGTAATATTGTGGAGATCCTAACTTGCATTCTAATAGTATCTTCTTGAAGGTGTGGAATCTTCTTATGTACTTATTTTTCTAGTCTGTTGCCAATATTTTTCAGAACAAGCTACTTAGTGAGGAGATAAATGCATGACTTAAGAATTACTCTCAGAATATCCTTCTAAAAATATGTATATTCTTTCTTTTCTTTTCAGTTATAGTATTCAGAGCTCTTGGTCCCTGACTCTCAGGGAAGGGAAAACAGAAATCTGTATTGAAAGTGGGAGTAGGTAAAGAGCAAAATTCTAAGGAGAAGAAAAACACACATTATGTGGTTCTCTAAGGGCATACTGCATGGCCCTGAAAACATATCTTGATTAAGTTAGTGTTCACACCAGCCAAAAATTACAAACAGGCTGAAAAGCCAAAGCAGAGATGCTTCATCCTTCATAACATGAAAGATTTAGGTTCACATTTTATGTAAAATTTACAAATTCTAATAAAATCTGTAAAAGATACAAATCTATGCACAAAATCTTTCAAGTCCTATCCAAAATATAAATATTTGTATTTTATAATACCGTATTTACGCATGTATAGGCCGCAGCACAATTTTCAGACAGAAATTATAGGAAAAATAATTTTCTTGGAATATTATTTCAGGAGTATTACACCCTGTATTACTAATTATGAATATAATTTTTTTAAATGAAGTGTGATTTTGAATATTTCGAATATAAGCCGCAGCCCAGTTTTCCTCTTGAATTTTTGGCAAAAAATGTGCGGCCTATACATGCATAAATACGGTATCTACATCCTTATACTCCTTTAATGTTGCGATTTCTCATTTTTACAGACATGAGGCTGAAGTTCCTGACACTCCTGATGCTCATTGTGTTGGGTATTAGTCTGTCCATTACTGTTCTAAGATTTGGAGTGGGGATCCTAGAGGACAACTTTGTAGCAGAGTTGTCAACCAACTACAAGAGTTCTGCACAGTTCATGTCATTTTACAGCCTTCTTAACTTCTCCTTGTACACTATGGCCTATGTTTATTCACCAGCAAAGGGTACTGTCTTTGGTAAGTTTACACCTAGAGTCAAGGTTTCGTATGGTGAAGGTGAAGGTGAAGGTAAAAGCAGAGTTTTCCCTGTACTTCATTAAGCAACATTATGCCATGAATATGTATGGGGGACTGGAGCATAGCTCCATCAATCTTAGCTTCAGCACTAGATGAAGTTGAATGGTCAGCTCCAGGCCCCAGCCACTTTACCTCCAGGTTAAGAGCTTCACAGCTGGTCTGGGTGCTGTAGAGTACGAGTAAAGAAAAATCTCTTGCCACTGCCGGGAACTGAACTTTGGCTGTCCAGCCCTTAGCCTATCACTACACCAAGTGAGCTATTCCAGCTTCCATAGACTGAACTATTATCAATAACTTGTATATACTGTACATATATTTAAGTTCCTCTACATCCAGCTGTTCCTTGCTCACTATCTAATCTACAGTTCATTAAGTTTTCCCAGTATTTACTTCCAATGTTTCTTGCTTTCATTGCTTGTTCTGCAGCAGTTGTCCACTCTTTCTTCAGTCTACATTTCTGCCTCACAGGAGAAACCCAGTTTACGAGCTTATTTGGCCATGCTATTTTAGTCAAGTGTCTGTACTATGCAGAGTGAGCATAGATTATCTTTCGAATATGAATCTGGAATCTTAGAAACAAGACATACTCACTCTTTCTGAACCATCTGTTAGAGGAAGTCATATTCACTTAGTATCCGACTGGTGTCACTAATTGGTGTGCACTGCAGTTACTCAATGTGGATCATCAGAATATCAGTCACTTCTGTGAATGAATGGATTGGCTACTGGGGACCCACCATCTTGGCCAGCCAGACTAGTACAACAGACACTATAAATTTATGAACATGAAAGGCAAACAGAATCTAGATTAATAGGTCTAAAAAAAAATTAAAGCTATCCCTGTAACAGACCGTGAAGGCCCATAGGGTTGTGAGACTGAGAGGCTCCACATTTTCTCTAGACAATCGGCTCACAGATGGCGGTAAGGTTGTCACCCTTATGCACCAGCTGCCTATAACTCCCCAGGAAGATTCCCAGTATTCATTTCTGTTAGAGGCTGACTCAACCCCAGGTCCATAGTGCAGCTGGGAGGTTTAGGTGAATTGAAAAAAAAATTATCAGGACTTGAACCTATGACCTTCCAGCTTGTAGCATAATGCCTCAACTGACTATGTTAGGTTTAATTCTTATTTCCTTCAGTCACTTGTGTACTTCATGCATATTTGTACAACTTCAATTGGCATGTGATTTCATAGCCACTGACTTTTCTAATTCCCTTGATCTTTCTTTTCACAGAATCACCCATTACAAAAGACAACCCTGCTTTCTCCATGATAAATGATTCTGATGAGGATGTTATTTATGGATCAGATGAGGAAAGTCGTCGACCTCTGAATCGATGCCAGAATGATGATGACAGCGATTAAAACTCTTATTACAGAAGGCAGACTAGCACTAAAGTGCCATATTGCAAAATGAGTAGGTAGTGGTGAGGTTACCATTTACTCAGATATAATTTTAAAACATAAGTGTTAAAACCTACAAGTGTTCTAAAATATATCAGTATATAAACATTCAAGAATATAAATGACTAAGCTATAATACTGATGATAATATAATGAGTGGTGAACATAATGAAAGATTGTGCTAAGCAATTTTGATTAATGACTAAACCAGTGATCATATTATTTCTTCTACCAGATACCCATCTGTTGAACTTGTTGATCTGATCAGTAACATTTACAATTCCCAGTGGAATAAAGATTTCTGATAGTTCAGATATTTATTTGTATTTTTTTTTTGGCATTGAATGGGGGGTGGGAGAAAATGAAAGTCAAACTTTCCATTAAATTTTGTGCTTTGAAATAGAAAGCACATTAATACATACACATTATGAATATGAATCAGTGCAACAGGACGCTAAAATACAACATATTTAGACCATCTCTATTAATGACAACCCTGAAATATTTAATATTATAATTCAGCATCCTGTTGCGCTGTGCAGATATGACTTTACATTCCACTTTTTGCTGTCTATGTGCAACGTCCATTAACATTCACTCATCCTCCTCTCTATATTCTATATCACTACATGTTTCTGGCCAACCAGCCTTCATCAGGTGTACTTGTTGTTGCAGTGAAAGAATCTGCTGCTCGCTGTCATGCTCTTCTGCTTTTCTTATGTAATTGCCTCATATTAATTCTAGGTTATGTGGGTTAACGAGCAATTGCCATGCACATTTGCCTTATGGTTTTGTTTGTTTATCTTTGGTATGGTCTGTGGCTCACTGAATGTTTCTGTTGCAGCAGAATCTTGTTGTTTTGGCAGTCAGCCATTACGGTCAACCTGTACACAGCAAAAAGTGGAACACAAAGTCAGACCTGAAATACTTGTTGTATGATTCTGCGACTGAAACAAGGAGACTGTTAATTCTAGTAGTTTATAAAGAGCTCACTTGCTTCCCATCAGGGCATCAGTTCTATTTCATGCAGGACTGCACACATTTCTCAGTTTCCTTGAGTCAAGTATAAAATCAAGCATGTTACTGTATGTTCCCTCTTTTATTGCAAAGCTGATACATAATCATGCTGACATATATGTCAGCTGTCACTATGCTTAAAATGCGTGTAGTCTGATAGCTTCTCTAAATTTCTCTTCTCTTGAGACTCACATAAGGTAGTTCAAGGTGAGTCGTCAGCTTCACGCCCCAGCTGCTTTACTCTCAGGGAGTGAGTGCCCTTTGCACCAATTGCATAGGAAGGTTGGTGGGGCCCATGAACCAGCCTGGATGACATGGAAAAAATTCTTGACCCTACTCGAACTCAAACTCTGATCCCTCAGTTGTCCAGCTTGTAGGTAGTCACTATTCTGACTGCACTACCCTGCTGTACTATATCTCACAACATACAAAGTCTGTGAAAAAATATTTATACATATACGCATACACCTTACAGGAAGAGAAGTTAGTTCATACATAAGTCTGTATACATTTCTGTGAACACTCAATCTGGATGTCCACGGAAAAGCTGAAACAATTAATCGCTAATATTTACTTACTTATGGAGCTGAGCCCTTCTTGAGAAGCCAAATCTGCAGTTACTCAAGAATTTCCCAGCATTTTATGGAACCCAAAGGTTCATTACCGTGATCACAAGAGCCCAATCCATACCATCCCATTCTATCTCTCTAAGATCCATTTTAATACTGTCCACCCACATATGCCTTGGTCTTCCCAGTGCTCTCTTTCCTTCTGGCTTTCCCACCAATATCCTACATGCATTCCTCTTCTCCCCCATTCGTGCTACATGCCCTGTCCACCTCATCCTCCTTGACTTGATCATTCTAATTATACCTGGAGAAGAGTACAAGTTATGAAGCTCCTCATTATGCAGTCTTCTCCATCCTTCTGTCACTTCATCCCTCTTCGGTCAACATATTCTCCTCAACACCCTCAGTAATTAATTAATTAATTGCTAATACAATGTGTATATCTATGCAAGTGTTTTAAAAAGTAATCAGTACCATTACTGGCTCTTCATTAGTCACTGAAGCTCTACTTTCTGCTAATCTTTCATGGCAACCAAATAACTTCGCGGTACAGAGATCACATCCATAACAATGGATAGTTATATGAACATTTAAGTAGAGGAATTTCTTCCCATACCTCATGTCTGTATATGTAAATGCTATTTTATGCAACTTAATGTCCATTATTTATTGTCCAGCAATATTGCAACACTCTTCCATTCACCACTCAATTTTTTAGTTTAACATTATACACCTTGACACTACATGCTTCGGCCCCAAACGGCCATTTTCAGGTGTCTTGATATGTTACAATTATTTTATTAAATTGTGTTAAAATCACACGCTGTAGTTCTCTTTTCAAGGTAAAACCAAATAAAATCCTTTAAAGTTTCTATTATACCCACGTTATTTTAGTGCATATTATTTCACCTCACACGGGGTGTCGTCCATTTTCATAAATGTATGTCTGTCCAGCGTGTTTTGTCTCAGCAGCTTGCCGCTCACGTTCGTAGCCTACTTTTCAGTTATGGCTGTCATATGTCCCTGGTTTGTGTGTTTCCTCCACAGTGTGTGGTGTTGTCTTTACTAGTCAAAACGTGGGGTATAATAGAAACTTTAAAGGATTTTATCTGGTTTTACCTTGAAAAGAGGACTACAGCATGTGATTTTAACACGAACTAAGACAGTGTAGCAGTTTTAACACAATTTAATAAAATAATTATAACATATCAAGACACCTGAAGATGGCCGTTTGGGGCTGAAACATGTAGTGTCAAGGTGTATAATGTTAAACTAAAAAACTGAGTGGTGAATGGAAGAGTGTTGCAATATTGACGGACGATAAATAATGGATGTTAATTTGAACAATTGCAATGGGATGCTGAAATACAGAAGCTATTTTATGCACCTCACAGCTGGAAATCTAGTATTACCTTCATGTTAGGTAAGAGCACATTAGTGGAATACCAGAGGGCAGTTTAGGTAAATATAAATTATGTTCATGTGGGTACCAAAGGACTTGGCTTCAGTGATGTAGACACACAACGTTCCTCCCCTGCACTTTGATATGTGGGGTTTAGGTGGTTAGCAAATCAGCTAATGTCACAATATGAGACTGAATTGGTAGTAACTGTAGGATGGGAGGCTACACTATTACATTGACTGATATGGTGTGGATACTTTATTACTATTACATAATGGAAAATTCTCCATCACTGTAAGAACTACTACCACATCCTGCATTCAATGTGACCAGAAGTGAACACTGCTGGTGCAGTATTACGGACGACAGATTCTTTTGCACTCAGACCACTAATGAAGAATTTGCAGTGAATGTGCAGTAACAAGGACAACATATCCTTAGTTCTATGAGCCATTACTTCACAGCTTTCTCCTTCCTGTGGGTTATTTTATGCCACCATCAGTATCTAGACTATACAGTGTTAACACATCTTGCGTTCAATGTGACCACTACACTGGAACCAACCTAAGAGCAGACACAGGTAGTGGGAGTCATAGTTGCATGTCTGCCTCCCCACATTACTTATACTGCATGGCCTGCAGTCATCAGCAGCTGGTGGGGATAAGCTGAGTGAGGCAGCTTCAGGCCAGATGGGTGAGGAAAAGGCTGTGTTGATTCTTTCACCGACTTCAACATAGTGAATGATGTATGCACAGTAGCAAGGATTACAAACTGTCAGTTGCTACTGCCCACTATGCATTCAGTGTGACTGCTAGTGAATGATAACAGTGCAACAGCAGAAACAACATTTTCGACATGGTTCTAAGAACTACAACTGCCCAGTATATATTCAGTGTGATCATCAGTGAATGGCATAGATGCAGAAGCTGGGATAATAGACTCTTCTGCATACCTTGCACTCCATCTAACCACTAGTGAAAGGTGTAACAGCATGAGTAATAGATTCTCTGTGGTTCTATGAGCAATTACTCTACACTTTGTCCTCAATGTAGGGTTTACATTTCACTCATGGACATGACAAATTTCTTGTGAAGCACAAAGTCCAAACTTTGTTGCTCATCATGGTCTTCTGGTGTGAAGGTGTGTTATACAGAGCTAAACACTGCTATGACACACAGTGTAAAACTATCACATTCATTATACAGTACACTTCGTGTTCAAAGCTAACACTTCCAGGTGAGTCAACTGGTAACAGGAATTCCTACTCACACTGAACAATTAAAGCTAATTTGCAATTCTACTGAATGAACAATACTGAACGTGGAAACAAACACCACAAACCTATATATAGGTCATAGGCATTAAAAGGAGTTTCATAGTAAATGTGCATTTATTTTATCATAGTGAGGTTATGAGAATTTAAATTTTTGTGATACTGTCATGGAGACATTTATTATATTCCCTTAAATGTTACATTTCCCTCTCTTGAGTTTTGTTACTAATTCCTAATTGTTCTAATTCCTTGTCTTGACTGAAGACAAAGATAAATATTGATTTCTCTATCTTGCATGCAAATACTAATCTTTCTTACCAATGTGCAGTATTATAAGCATACCAAAAACATTATTCACATCTGCAAACTAGGGTACTGTGCATACTAAGACGCAGAAGTATTAAGCATATGTATTAAGTGAATAATATTTTGCACACACACAAAACTCCAACACAGACAGTGCTATAAATTTCCGACACATTCATACACTGACCACAGTGACTGATCACATGGCTGTATGAATGAAAAGCATATGAGTTTAAGCGCACAGTCCTAAACAACAATGTTGGTATAATTCTAACTGCAACAACATTAAGTGTGCTAAATCTCAGCCACTAATTGCCTGTAAGGTTCAGAACAATGACCTTCAGACTAATATGTCAAATGGTTTTGACAGTACAATGCAAAACTGATTATTAGATATTCCCATATAATTAACACATACTGACTAAACACTATCATAGCTTCAGCGTTTGAATTACAGAATTTGTCTAGTGTATGTGTGTGAGTGTATATAAGGTACATTAATAAAACAGTTTAAGTATGACGCCAATTGAAACCCGAATGTAGTATTGTATCTCCTAGTAGACCAGACCCTAAAAAACTCAAAACCTAGAAACTAAGTTCTGAAATTTCCAACTACAGAAAATAAGAACTGAAATAAGTATAAGCATGTGCTTAATACATAACATGACGAATAAAATATTTTTGTAAATTAGTTACGTAACGAATGAATGTTTACATTTTTTTTTTCAAAACTACAAATTTAACTGTGC